CTCTTGAATGAAAATGAGTTGGCATTCTGTGTGAAAGAACTTCTTCTGGAACTCTTCCATTTGTTTCCTGGGTAATCCTCCTACGCACGGATCCTGTTTTCTCGTCTTGTGAATGGTGGATGCGTGTGTACTGAGTAATGCGGTCCATTTTTTTCCTGTGCATATTTCCTTTTCGCACCTTCCACAGTGAATGCATGTATGGAATGTGTGACTCTTTTGTTGATTAGACGATTGTCGTGGGGATTTTGTTCGAGAATGCAAGAGTGTTTAGATTTGTAGCTTTGTTTGCACTGTGCATGCCATCTGCCTTATGCTGCACGACATCAGCAGYCGAGCCACGAGGCGGCCCTTACAAACAACGCGCCTAGGGACCAACGTTGTGTTGAACTGATCGGACCCGTAGCCATATGCGTGATCAAGCTGATCTGTCTTTGCTCTCTCTCTCTTGTGTCAAAAAGATTGATTGAGGGACGCGCGAATCGCTTTTGTTCCTAATGACGTCTCGGGATATTTTATGATTGATCGACTTGTGGACCGACAAGTACCCTTCGATTGGGCGCCAACCTCCCGTATCTCCCATCCCAACGCGAGATTTTCCKTACAGTGAGGAAAGGACACGTGTATGTGAGTCAGACGTACGAGAAGCTGTTGCACAAATCGGCGGGCAGTATTACTTCCCTCCGGCCAACCGCTGTTCTGGGTTCGTAGAAGACGGGTTTGTTATTATCGATACGCACTTCCCTCCTTACTCGATGTTGTTGTCATTTAACGAGTTGATCGTCATTCCGTGGACGACAGTAGAACCCCACTGGCCGCGCACTCTGTGCACCGAATGTCAGCGTTTTGAGCGCTATGAGTCAAGGGGTTTCCACTACCGTGTGCGGAGTGAAGACGAGCATAAAGAAAGAGCCACGCGACTGAGACCCTCCACGTCAGACTCGTAACTAACCAGCGAACGACGACGAGACTTGATACGAAAACGGGACACGCGAAGCGTGCCCAAGCCTTTCTGTTCTAAAGAACGGGTTGTGGCCCGGTGGGAGGCACGACAATACTTTTTGGATTAAATTTGGATCTTTCCCTCTCTTCCCGCCTTGCCCGCGCGCGCATTCGTTGACGCGGGAAAATGATCGACTTGCTCCATCGGACCAACATGGGGGATTTCAGTTCCGTCTGTGTCCCCACACTCAATTTCCAAAAGTCCTTGGCACACCGTATCTTGCTGTTTTTCTGGGCCTGTTTTTCGCACAACTTACACTCCGAACGGAAGACAGCACAGGGCGTGAGGTTGGTATCGGAGCCGACACGTGTCGTTCTGATGATAGTAAGTCGAACTGGCGAGAGGTAGGAGAGACCCTCAACTAGCTCGTCGAGATCGCCCCGTAACCAGATCTCAGTCTAGTGAGACTGCACCCGCACTACCAATGGTGGACGGTACTAGGGTGATTGTTAGTATCCCTGCCCCCTTCCCCTTCTTCCCGAACCATACTCATCCCGAGGCTTGGATGGAAGCTGTCGAAGCTCAGAAGTACAGCGCAGTCGATCTTCCCCGCGTTCTGACATTGCTACTCCGCAACACGTCGCGTGACTGGTTTAGAAAACATACATGGGTAGATTGGGCTACTTTTAAGACAACCTTTTTGGCTCGATTCGATATAATCAGTGAAGATTCCGCCTGGTACGTACTCAAAAATCGACCCCAAGGACTAAGGGAATTGTTGCCCGATTTCGTCGATCGATTTCAAAGCACGTTGGATAAATCCGGGCGAGACGAGAAATCCGCTCGAGATTTGTTTATTGATCACCTTCGAAATCCGACCTTGAAAGGGAAATTACAGAAAAAGGTTCTGCCAAAAACGCACCCGTTATCGGCTATCATCACTAAGGTATTGGAACTGGATCTGGCTGATACCAAAAAATATATCAGCCAGGGAGATGAAGACATTACGGATACCATACGGGATGTAATGGCCAAAAGGCGATCATGGCTACAAGCAGTCGAACGGTTTTATCCCCGCCCCGACCATGACCTTCCCGGCGGAATCGTTTTCGATATCCCGACTGCTTCTCTGCCATCTCCCCCGGTGAATCAATCGATCGCAGCAGTTCGAAGCAGAACCTCATCCGAACCCCCCTCGCCGACCGTAACCAATCTACACCTTGCCCAGATGATCCATACGGCTACTACCAAGCAGTCCGAATGGATGGGCAACCTGATCCAAATGTAGGCCGCTCATATGGAACGGATGAAACAGATAATGAACAGGCTCATTAAGCCTAACCTAGCTTCTTCTCGGCCTGCCCCCCCATCGTTTCCACTCTTACCTGCCCCACCTTCTCCAGGGTTCGCGCCTCAGTTCCCTCATCTAGCTAATCCAACAGGAAAGATCGAATGCTTTAACTGCAAGCAACCCGGGCATTTCGCCCGGGACTATCCGCAGCCGAAACGTAATCAGCCTCTCCCTGCTGCGGCCCCCGTTGCCCTTAATCAAGGACGAGTGGCCGCTCTGATGGATACGGATCAAGGAAGGGAACTCGTGGCATATGCCACAGAGCAGCCCCCCCCTTCGATGGCAACGACATCAACATCGGGAGCTTCTTCCCCCGACAATGCTGACGTGGTCGATCCTCTCAAGTATCTCCATCTCGCAGGCATGATCGGAGCGATCCGATCGGTCCCAGATGATCTCGAGTGTGTCGATCGTGAATCCAATCCAGGACCGCAGTTTCGGACATGAGACATTGATGTATTGAGGAGAACGCTCAAGCAGTTAGACGTCCGAGTGTCCATCCCAGTGGGACATCTGCTCACCATATCTGAAGTGGCGAACAATAACCTTCTACAACACTGCCAGAAAAATCAAAAGCGTTTCACCTATCAACGCATACAACGGATGTTGAAGAAGAAAGAAGAAAGCGAGGAAGTTGTACCCCCTGAGCCTGACACAAAAGAACCCGAACCTGAAGCCGCACGTATAGCAGCGATCTCTTTAGCAGAAAAGGATCACTTCGTACGAGCTCGGCCGGTACTATGGAAAAGTGCGGAATGTGATTGTGAAGTGTGGGGCAAGTCGTTTAATGCCCTTATCGACACGGGGTCTTCTGCAGTAGCCATATCATTGGATACTGTCAAAAAGACGGTACGACTTGGATCTATTCTTCCTCAATATGGCAAAGACAACTATGTCTCTGCCGATGAGGAAGCAATGAACATCGTATGCATTATCGAGAATGTGGCCGTAAAAGTTGGACGAGTACACGTCCTTGTTAACGTAGGTGCACGTCTGCATTTCGATTCGAAGCAACTGGTGCTCACACAAACTGGGGGAAAAACTCAAAATGTTCCTTTGCGAGTTTCCACCCGGACAATGAAACGGGTCCCTAACCCGGCCCAAATAGGGATGATCCGAGACATTGATCCCGAGGAATGCTCTCCCTCACGCCTTGGGGATGAAATTAGGGAACAAGAACATGAAGAAGAGATGCCTAGCGAAGAAGAATGGAAGCATCAAGTTGAACTTTTCGAACATGAAACTCCCGAAGAATTTCAAGTGTGCCCCGACACTGCTCGAAGCTTCCACGTGGATTCTGAAGACAGTGCATTCATGCCTCTAACAACCCAGGTCAGTCCTTCAGTCCTCCTCGGGGAACCCATATTACAAGTTTTCGATCTCGCTGATGATTTGGAACCCCCTCGCACCTTATACGAGGGAGCTTTTTCCTTACGAACGCGTTATCAGCAAACGGAACAGTATTTGGACGTTTCTGTTTTTCGACCCCGATCATTACTAACGACAGGAGCCACCATCGCCTTGATTAAACAAGAAGCGGAAGTACTGGTAAGTGACGTGCCGAATCTAATGCAAGAAATGATGGATATAACAGGCCTAACTATGGAACCGACTTCGGTTGGTTCAGAGACTGACGCTGAAACTAAAGAAACGGAGATGATCAGCCCCGCTGAGTCCCAGATGATAGCAACTGTCTTTTCTGTTCACACCAGTAGTTCCGTTTTCTCTAGTATCCATGAGCGGCGGGAACGGCCGGTTGATTGGATCGATATGCCCCTTAATATGTCCAGGGAATCGACGATCCCCCTCCCGAGTCACGTTCCCGCGGAACTTCGAAAGTTGTTAATTTGTGTATTGAATGGTTACGCAGAAGTGCTGAGCATGCATGACAATGATATTGGGTTAACTAATGTAATTAAACATGCCATTCTCATGGGAGATCATCCGCCCATTAGCTGCGCTCCTTACCGATACTCGCCATCTCAACGAGCGACCGCCTTTCAGCGGATTAAGGAGTTCGAAGCTAATGGATGGATCAAACCTGCTATAGGACCATGGTCTTTTCTTGTAGTGATAGTACCAAAGAAGGCTGGGGGGATTCGCATTTGCATTGATTATCGAAAGTTGAATGATATCATGATTAAAGATGTGTATCCCCTCCTCTGGATTGATGAGTTATTGGATGCGATTGGGAGTGTTTGATTTTTTAGCAAGTTTGATGTTCGTTATGGGTTCCATCATCTTCTTGTCCAAGAGGAAGATCGACCGAAAACAGCGTTTGTGCTTTTTGAAGGCACGTGGCAATGGATTCGATGTCCGATGGGTATCTGCAATGTCCCTGCAACTTTTCAGCGAGCCATGAACATTGCTTTTCATAATTTTGTACGGAAGACTCGTTTGGCACAGAGCATCATCAACTACTGCGTGATTGTGTACATGGATGGCATCCTAGTGTATTCGAGTTCCTACGAGGGACACGTGCAGCACATCGAATGGGCACTGCATGCGTTACGAGATGCAGGTTTCAAGGTGGCGCTGGAGAAGTGTCAGTTTTTCCTCACCACCATTTCTTTCCTAGGGCACGTGGTGACAGACAAGGGACTCCAACCGGACCCGCAGAAGGTGGCAGCTGTCAGGGACGCGCCAGTGCCTACCACTATCACGCAAGTTCGCGCCTTTCTGGGCCTAGCCTCGTATTACCGAAGATTTATCAAGGGCTTCACAACGATTGCGGGACCCCTCACAAATCTTCTGCGCAAGGATCAGTCGTTGATCTGGACGCCGGAGTGCGATCAAGCGTTTTCCAAACTCAAGGCTGCTCTCATTTCGGCTCCGGTCCTTATAAGACCAGATCCCGAAAAGCCTTTTGTTCTCATCACCGACTGGCAGCCAGAGGCGATTTCGGCGATCCTTGCCCAGGTGGGACCAAGCGGACTCGAGAGTGTGGTGGAGTATGCGTCCAAATCAGTACCCGCCTGCAAGCGCAACTACGCCGCTCCGACGGGAGAATGCTATGCGACTCTTTGGGGAATCAGTCACTTCTGTGCTTACCTGTACGGACGAAAATTCACCCTGGTGACTGATCATGAGCCCTTGTTGGCTCTGAAGAAGTCGAAGGATTACTCGGGCATGATCGGGCGATGGGCAACGGTGTTGCAGAGCATGGACTTTGACATTCGTCATCGAAAGCACGAGAGACACGGGAATGAGGACGGGCTGACACAATTGCACCAACCTGAGAAGGTTCCAAAGGGTGAGGAGGTGATTCCGTGGAACGAACCCGAGCAGAAGATTGGACCTCGGTACGGCCAAGTGGAGATCTTATCGAAGCAGTAAGTGACACGAGGACTAATTGTTCTGTTCTGCTCTCCCTGCATCCCCTCCTCCTCTGCCATCATGACTTCCCCAGTCGCCTCCGCAATCCCTTCTTCTCCTACTTACTCTGCCCCTCTCACTTCCTCGGCTTTCTTCGCCACCCTTCCCGATAAATTCTACTATTTTTGCACGTGTATTGCACGAGTTTATGGGGTCGACTGTCATCCCTTCGAGACTGGATTTGTCGATTGGGTAGAATGTGCCACGTGTGTCAGCCGTGCGCACGAGGCCTGCGTTCGATATTGGACGAGTAGCAAGAAATGGAGGTGCCCCCTATGTAGAACGAACAAGCTCCCCACGGAGGTTCGATTCGAGGCCGCCCGTACGGACGGTCCAGAATACGATGAAAAATACCGACGGGCAGAAGTCTGGACGGATAAAATTTTATTGGCGAAATTAGCGGGATTATCATTGGGCCATCTCACCAAACACGACAGACGTAGGGCGACCGAGAGATCTCGGGACTATCGATGGATCAACGGTCATTTGGAAAACCGTAAAACTGACGGATCGGGTTCGTGGCTGACAGTTCCCCATCCCTTCCAGAGATACGATTGGATCCAATCTGCTCACGAGGAACAGGCCGCTCATTTCGCGATACGTATCACGGAGGCAACTGTAGACCAGAATCAATGGTTCTGGTCCAATATACGAGGTGATGTCAAATACATTGTCGCTAACTGTCTGGTCTGTGCCGCTGATTGCGCCCCTATACGGGGACCAAACACGATCGTGCCAACGGAAGTAGAGCGTCCTTTCCAGCGAGTCAGTATGGACACGACAGATATTGACGTGCCACCTGGACCAAATCGATGTGAATATTCTGTCCTATTAGTATTAATAGATCATTTTTCCAAGTACATCGAGGTCTATCCCTGTAAGACCCGAAAAGCCGCAGAAATAGCCACGTACATCGAATGGTTCCTCTATACCCATCTAGATACTGAAGAAATACTAACCGACAATGAAACTGAATTTAAAGGTGAGGTAGAAGAACTACTTGCACGAAGGGGCGTCCCGCTCCGAGATACGGCACCCTACGTGTCCCAGTCGAACGGGTTGGCCGAGAACGCCAACCGTATGATTAAAACCACCCTTCGCAGGAACTTAGCAGCACACGACACGCGTCCGTGGCCTGAGATCGTATATCAGATCGTCGGCATCCACCGGGCCACCCCTCACGAGTCTACGGGGCTCACCCCCTTTCAGCTTCGAACTAATAGCCTCCCCTGTGTCGATTACCGGGGTAACTCGAAAATTGCAGAAGCAAGGGGTAGAGACACGCGTGCGGCCCTCAAGGCCAAGGCCAAAAGGTACACCGATTTGATGGAACGGGCCGTTCTGAAGCTAGCCCAAAAAAAAAAAAGGATGATCGAGCTGGCCCACGGTAGGCAGGTCCATAGCTACGAGGCCCGGAACGGAAATGCTGGGCACCAGTACCAGTATAAATTGGGGGACCTATTGCAGGTACGTAAATGTGCACGCGATCGGAAAATCACTCCCAAGTTCTCTGGCTGTTTTCGCGTTGTCGAACTCGGGCCCAACGGCGCCAACACGCTGCGCATCGCGCCTGAGGCTAGCGCTAGCCATAGCTCCGTCCCCATCGTCAGACATACCTCCTACCTCCGTCTCCTTCCTCCTTCCGATTTTCCTCCCTCTTCTTCCTCGGAAAGTGAGGAAAACGACGACGATCTAACCCTCTCTCCTCTTTCTCCCTCTTGTCCCTCGTCCTCCTCTCCGACCTCGCCATGAGTTTCATCACGGAGCGGGTTCTCGACGCACAGCTGCGGCAGCCACGTGGCCACATCTCAGAGATCCGGCAAGTTTGTCACCCTGAGCTAAATACGGATCTCCATCGTTTGATGTGATTATTCTGCGACGAAGGTATCTGTGTCGCCGCTGCGTTTCGGATAGAAGGAAGCCCTCACGCGATAGTGTTCGAGGAGGTTACTGCAGTTCGTCAGCGAGCGGGTCCCAGAACGAGCCACGTCACCACAGTGGCGGTATTCACCGGCGACATCAGCTCGGTCAATCCGCTTCGGCATACCGCGATCTTGGCCTCGCTGCGGGAGTGAACGGAGCAAGTCTCCAACGTGTGGCAGCACGTCCTCGCCCGGGAGGGGTATAACATCATCCCGATCTTTGCATCGGACCTTGACGGCATTCGCCGATCACCGCGCATGTGGCCAGTTGCGATCCCAACCCTCGTCCCCTTCCCCCATCCCCAATAAACCACGCCAATTTTCTCACCCCTCTCTCTATCTTTGCTCTCCCCTCTCTCTTCCCCACCTTCTGGCAATCCGATCTCCACCCTTCTCTCTCATTCTCGTTCGAACCTCTTTCGGTCCCTCTTATCAATCCTGGACATTGGCGGCTGTGGCGCGAGACTTTTGAGGAGTTGTCCTTCTGCCTGACCCGAGTACAAGTGAAGTGGAAAGGCACTATCGAGCACCCCACGTGGATCGAAAATCCGGAGCTGTTAATCATACAAGGTTGGAGGACTAACGCGGAAGGAGATCTTATTGGATTTCTTTTTGGATCGGTACGACCGGGTCGCCGTTAGTTGATTGCACAGGAGCTCATCGCACTGATCGTGCAATTGGCGGACGATATCTCGCCCGACATATACTTTCAGAGCGACAACAGTCCTCCTCTGTACATTTTCGAGCGATCCTTGGATCCGTACCTTCAGTGGACTTCGTACTTGGAGGAACCTAGGGACGAGGATACGCTACCATCGCCGCAGGAGTATCTGAAGCCGTACGAGATCATCCCTTATGCCTTCTACCCGAGGGCAGAAGAAGTGGTGATTGACGACGACGACGACGAAGAAGAAGACGACGACGAGGAGACATCGGAGAAGGGAAGCCATAGTGAACATAGCGAGGGCGAGCTGAGTGAGGAGGAAGAGGAAGAAGAAGGGACCGGGTCCGAGTGTGAAGCCCCGCCGGAGGAAGCGACGCGTACGGGAACGGAGGCGGAAGATCCGGAAGCGGCGCGAAAGCGCGAAGAGATTGCCTCCGGAAAGCCCCAGCTAGAGTTCGCTAGCAAGGCTAGCCTGCGCATCGGTAGCGATCCGACCAGGGATCCAGAGCCACCGAGGCCCGAAGATGGCGACCCTGCAGCCGCCACCTCAAGTACCGCGCGACAGAGAAGGCGCCGATCCCCCTCCTCCTCCAACCCCACCCGTCCCCCTGTTCGCCCACGTACCAATGCGGGCGATAGGCCTTCGACCTTGGACGCTACCCCGCTGACCCCTTGATTTTCTCACCCTCGAGCAGATCTGTACCCCCGTCACCTTCCCTTCCCATCCTTTCCATCCCCATCTCTTCCGCGACTTCTACTCTAGCCGTCTAATCGCCACCGTCCACCCCCACACCTCCCTTCAATCCGCTGCCCCCACGTTCTGCTGGCATCTCCTGCTGTTCAGCGCTGCATGGGAGCAATGCAACGTGGTAGAAGTTTACTGCATCGCCACGGGGACAATCCCCGCTTGCCGCCACTTCGAGGTCTTTCGAGTGGCGCTTTTCCATACCCTCTCCTCCTTCTATCGCGACTACCTCGCCTCCCTCCCCCGCAGTGGCGATCATTTCCCCCGCTTCCACCGAATCATCCGATATGAGGAGCTCCCTGTGACGATGGAAGGGATGAATCGCTTCCTACCCCCGCTTCCCCCCCGTCATCCCCGCGAGATCCCTGGCATGTACCGCCTCTACTGGCCTATTCCAACTAGGCGGTAGATCCCATTCACTTGAACCGCCCCCCTTTTTTTTTTTTTCTCTCCTCCCTTCATCGSCACGAATCGGTAAGCTTCGCGAAGATCACGCCATCAATGATGACATCAACCTATGCGCTGATTCGACAGACGACAACGAGCAAGGGTGTAGAGCACACGGAGATCAGGTGGACCATGATGACTTCACCTGGACGATCTCCACGAGGCAGAGGGTTGCACAGGGCTACGGAGATCTTGCCATGGATATTGTCGCCATCTCATCCACGGCCTAGTTATCGTTCATTGTACTTCTTTCTGCTCTGTTGATACGCTTGGTTCCTCATGCATCACTCTGTTCTCCCCTCTTCTTTTCCGCCATGACATGCAATCAGGAGATCGCATAATTTTGGAACCCCCTGCGCGTCACATATGTGACGAACCACTTCCCCATCCCGTACCATCTTTAGTACACTTTCTTTTGCTTGTATCATACCAACCCCAGGAAAACCCCGTTTTGAGTTCTTGCCTTCGGGTGCCGAATTTTCCTTTTTGAGAGCTTTTTCGACTACTAAGTTCTGTTTTTCTTCTTGCAAAGTTGGGAAATACATGGGAATTTACGTGCGCCTTAGCGAGCGCACGGGGAATTGGGCTCCGTAGTTGGGAATTACGGGATAAGCGCAACTTCGACGTGTCCTTTTTGGGCATGTGAATGTTCTTGGGCGCGTCTGGGAAAACTCTCGGAATTTTGCGTGAATACGAATAGGCGTAGGATTTTCTTTTCCCGCATCGCTTTTTTGCGCGCGGATATGGTGATTTCAATTTTGAAGTAGGATAGAAGCAAGCTGTAACTGTTTCGGTGCCTTTTCCTTTTTTTGTTGACGGCGCCGTCCATGCAAAAGCTTCCTCCTCTCTGTCCCCCGCATCGCTCCCCCCGCGCCTCCCTTCCCTTCTCGCTCCTTTTTCTCTCTCCCCGTAACTGTTTTTCCTTCTCCCTCTCTCTCTCTCCCGCCTTGCTTCCGCGTGCCCATTTCCCTTTCTTGATCATCTGAATCTTGGACCCGTCTTGCGCCACCTCTCGTGCCTTTTCTCTTCTCACCCTCTACGTCTGGCGTACGACACCCGGTCGATCCCCCGATAACTCCCGCTCGCCAATCAGGTGCGTGGATCGGTAGGACCTTCCTATCGCGCGGTGAATCTGATTGGTTGAACCTTGAGTTCCGAGGGATCAGCATGGCGTTCGTAGAGCACTCTTCTCAAGGTCTTCTCCTCCTGCTTCTCCTCTTACACCTCAGCTTTCCTGTCGCCTTCTCCCCTTTTTATCTCCCCTGTCGCAACAATAAAACCCGCAAGCGCGTCCGCCAATCTCTCTTACGTTCTCGACTCCTAAGCCAGCTCCTGGGAAGTAGTGGCTAGGCAGAGTGGATTGATGCGAGTCAGAAAGTCCTGTCGGGCTGACGATAGGCTGGCCGGTTGCGCGCTTGATCACCACAACGGACTGTGGGATCCGGGCGAACCGTGTCGAGTTTACGACAGCGGGTGATGATCGCAGTGGTGGGAGTTAGCACGCGATGGCCGGGATCGTCGGTGCGGGTATGAGGTTCGATGATTGGAGTTGAGTGAGTGATTGGCCCGGGGTCATAGTGGAATTAACGGCGAATGCGCCTTTGTTGCGGATTGTTATCCTCGACGTGAGTGTAAGGCGGCGACGCCGAACTTCTTTTCGGACCTTGTCGTCTTCTATTTTGACTCTCTCTCTCTCTCTCTCTCTCTCTCTCTCTCT